ATATTGTTGGTGGGATCGGAAGAAGCTTTTAAAAGGGAAAATAGGATGAATTATTTCTGAAAGTCGGACCAGTGCAGTAGGAAGAAATAAATAAATTAGGCACGGCATCGTTTGATTCCTCAATTTTTCAACGTTCTATATTCTGCTATTCTAAGTTTCTGTTAAGCATGCACAGTGCTATGTTGGCCGGTGAATCTGTTGGTCGCGGCAGACCTCTAAGGGATAAGAAGGCTTGTAAAAGATATACTCCCGCGTGGGTAATTGCTACCTCGGTGCCCTGGTGAAAGCAAAGTGTCCTTGCTCTTTGTTATTTGGGGTACGATTAGAAGCGAGTTTGGCGGTGTCGGAGACACGGTTGACGTTTGTGGCGAAGTGGCTAGGGTCAAATTTGGCAGCGATTGGCCCAAGCTAGAATACGCCGGCACTTGGACGCTCAATGTGTTAGGCGTCGGTGACTTACTCAGTGGGTATCGTCTATTATCAAATTTGTTAGGACTAGAATAACGGTCAAATATTGGTCAGATTGCATTTAAAATACATGTGTTATTTGTGAACGTTTCTGTGAATGGTCTCGACGTATTTACCTTATTTGCAAGGGTCTGTGGTTGTGGCCAGAACTCTCACCTCCTTCTTCCGATGATACGCTCGAGGCGCGCGGCGGTTCACTCGTCTCTACGCTGACATTTCTGCTTGGGTTGTAACTGGGCAGGAAGCTGCTGCTTCCCGGCGAAACACCCTCCATCTCTATGCTTCCACTGGAAGCAGTTTCGTGACTATTAGGGCTAAAGCTTTCATATCCTCGTCTACTACTTTGTGGAGATTTATAAATTAGAGTAGAGCTTGTACCTATGACTGTGAGCGAGACTGCTCACTCTCGACGCTCTGCTACTCCCACGAGGTGTTTTCGGTATACCCTCGCATTCCTCCGGCTCGAATTCCACTTCACCGAGGAATGTGCTCGGTTGTCTATTGACCGTGCCTAAATTCATCGTGTTGCCAAGCGGTGGCACTTTCATCAACGCGAATTGTTGCTGAGCTTTCCTTATGGACTCCATCCAAGACTAAAACGTAGGATACAATACGATGTTAATCTCAATTGTACATTAATTTTCTCAATTGCGATTAGATTTGGAAAGAACGTTTCGACATACGAACACACACCTTGGCTAATTTTGATTCTCCAGCGCTGAGAACCAAAGCAGCTGATACTGCTCCGTACTCGTTCAGATAAACCAAGCCTAAGCTGCTTGACTCTTTCAACTCATGTATTCGGATACGATCGATAACGTACGGTTGTCTTATAATCTTCAAACCGCCCCCGACGGTGCCAGTCAGCCCGCTGGACGAAGTTTTCTTGGTCGACGGTTTGCAGATCAATAGCATGTCTGTCAGTAGAAGCACGTGTACTTCCATCTGAGTGGGACAATTATTCTTTTAATTTACAATTGCTCTTTGTATTTTCAGTCTGGTTGTGATGACTCGATTACCTTGCTACTAGCAGCATCCCTCAACTTTAAATCTCCCTCGCGAAGAAGTATTCTGAAGCTGTCTTTCGGACAGCCTGGCATTGGAACGGTGGTAATGTCGAACGTGCTGTGAATTTTAATCAGTTTCTCTAATTCTTCGTCTCTAGATTCGACCACGTCGTAGCTCTCTATTCGAGATGCAGCACCGGCCAACCGCGCTGTTTCTTCGTTCCTCCTCAAGGCTGCGTTCACCGATGCCACGAAGTCGTCGACAGATTTGATCTGACGTTCACACAGTGACGTTATAACGATATTAACATTAACACTGTATACAGAGTGTTAGCTCTACTATTCAGTAAGTAGTATTACTTTCTTACCATATGCGTCAATTCTGCTCGTTGCTCCTCGTTCTCTGTGTTCTTGTGAACAGCCTTCAAGAGGAGAGAGTACTTCGTCAGCCTCTGCATAGGTTTCACCAGTATGTCGAGTAGTTTCAGTCTATTGCAGTCCTTTTGAGTCTCACACCACTAACAAACAGAGAGAAATATGTCACACAATGAAATAATTCTCCAGGTTCTCTTCTTTTAATAACAATAATTTTCCAAGACTCTCACCACCAGATAGACCGTGAATAGCTGATTATCGTTCAGACGGTCCCGGCAATACTGTTGACATTTGCTTTGCTCCGCGCAGTATCTGGTATAAGGTGCGAACGTTTGCTCGAACGTCTCAAAACCTTGCAGAAGGTGGCCAGGATCGAGCGGTTGCCCAGTGGTCCTCGATGTATTCAGCATCACTAGAATGCACTCAGTCCAGAAGTAGCGATTCGCGGCGTAGATCTCGGGGATATTGCTGAACAGCTTCGTCCTGTCGACCTCGTTCAGGATATTCGAGGCCTGCAGGCTGCAGAGGCACGCCATGAACAGCTGGAGATATTAAGTAGAATTAGAAAAATTGTATGTTTTGTCGAGTTTGTGAAAAAAATCGAGTTTTATATTTTCAGTGTAAACTCAGCGAGTCTTTATGAACGTAGTTAAAGAAATGTAGTTTAAGCAATTTGTTTTTTTCACTACCATATGTTATAATCAAATTCTTAAAAAATATGAATTTGCATAAAAATTCGCACTCGACTTATAACAAATACTCTACTTCTAATAAGTATTGTATTTCCTATATTTTTGCATATTGGATTCTTTAAATTTTTCATAAATTGCATAAAAATCAGCAGTACTACTTATCAGGGTACTTACATCTGTCACGACCTTTAGAGTCTTTATGTAAGCTACTTCCGTTTGAGCTAGCTCCCATAGAGCAGTTTGCTGTTGCTGATGTTTCTCCGATAGTTGGTCCGAATTGTGAACAATATCGCGCCAATCGTGTTCTAGATTGTACAAGGCTGCAATAAAATTCATTTATCAATTTTAACATGTAATTCGTAGAGTATATTCTTTTAATGAAATTATATGTTCCGCTGTTTTCTGTCTTTTCAGCCCGGAACGGGTTTTCAAGACTACGAAGCGATGGCAAAATTGAAATTCCACGTTCACGAACGACACGTGAGCTCATCGAACGAGACTGTAAAGTATTTTTATTCAATCATGTGCATCGTTTATACTACATAAAAAAAAAAGAATCATCAATCAATGCTATATAAATATGTATATGAAATCTTTCCCAATGTAACATAATTTATTGGGTACAGATACAAGTTCGTCGTACAGAATGTGTCTAAGTTTCCTTTTTTCTTTATCATCCTATTTCCTTTATTTTAATAGAATGGATAAAGTAGCGAATCTTAATAATTAGTATTACGCGGAATGAAATATAAAGTTGTAATGAGACAAAACACAATGCACAAATTTTCAAAAATACTTATACCCATTTTTAGATTTACCACTATATGTTATAGGCTGTGGATTTTTATGCATTTTCATGGACTAAAATTTAAATGGAACTTAAATATGTTTTACTTTCAATTTCCTACTATGAATGCATAAGAATCCACTGTCTACTCATCGTCGATATTCTCAAAAGATGAAATCATTAATCGAGAAATTGCTCACCATCTTCATTGAAGGTGAGCTCGTAAGACAGTTCGGAAAGTTTCGGCACTCCGTGCTTGTCATAATCGTCCAGCTGAGCGGTAAGTAGATCGAGTTTGGTGCCTTTGGTATTGGTGAAGAAGCCACTCCATCGCTGTTTGCTGGTCTTGAGCCCCGCAGCCCCAGCGGAACTCCGACCAGATGTCAGCGTGGTGTTGCTACCGACCTCGGAGTCGACGCTCGAATCCTCCGTCGAAACGCTGAAGAAACGACCGCTACGACACCGATAACTCTGCAAAACGAACCACACGAATAATTCGTCTTCCGTGTTGCTGTGTAAGATATCCCGAATTACATAGAACCGCAGTTTGCAAGTTACTCGAAGATATCTGGTCACTTAATGAACGTGCGGTCGGAGGAAGTAGTTGTCTCTGGCAATAGTCAGACATTCGAGTTATTCTCTAACTGGAAGTCAACATGCGTCGTGGTACGTGCGGTTTCCCTCGTCTAGTAGTTTTCGACGTTGCGATAGAAGAACATCGGTTATACCAGAAATCCAGATGTGATCGCTGATTAAATGGCGAAGTTATAACAATCACGATATATAACGAAAATAAATTTCTTCTCTCAGGAGTAGAACCGATGGTTCTCTAATTTTTACGATCGTCGAGAGACGATTTCTGGAAAGAGATTCCTTTCATTTTTACATGTAATTTGAAAAAAAGTCGCTCATTTAAATTCGTTATATTTTTCGAATAATTTTTACAGCATTCTTCGAAGAGAAATTACATTCTGTACGTCTTCAATCTTCCCCAAATGCACGAATAATTGGCAATCCACGATCTGCTAATTAGAATCAAGCAGTGAAAAGGGCCATCGGACCATTGTTAAGTGTCCATTTTGCGGATTACTGACAGGCATCGTAACACGATAGACAAATATGACGTATACACGATGCACGCGTGTGTGTTACGCCGAAAATTGACGAGCGGATCGCGTTCCTGTCCGCGTGAATCCATTAGAATCTGGCACGCCGGTGTAATAAGAGGATCAGCATCGATTATCGAGCTTCGCGAATATTATTCGCGGCGGAGCAGGCGGTTCGTTTCGTAATTTGTCTCGCAGTGCGCGGGTCAAGGTACAAGAAATCCTGTGATATCGTTGCATTGTCCGCCGACTTATTAAAGCGACGTAGGTCGATCGAAGATTAGGGAGAGAGGACGATAGGCGAGAATGTATGTCAGCTTTCGCCCCGGCGCACAATGAGCCATCAGCTTCCAGCCGATATCAAACACCTCGGGAAATGCGCTGTCAGAGGAATTAACGGAGCCGAGCGACTGAGCGAACGCTTCGTTTGAGCCGAGCTTTTTGTGCCGCCTCCGCGGCGGCATCCGCGCTAATTAAAAAATCTGTGCCAATTCGAAACGAGACGAGCGAGGATTGACTGTCGAACGAAGAGAAGAGGATGACGCGTGGGAGGTGAGATTTCAAGATCGTACGACAAAGAAACGGAGATGACAAGTAGATTGCGGATTTTTACGTGTTAGAAATTCGTTTCGTCTGCTGAACATTATTACAGGTGCTCCGAATATTTTTAGAATATTTTTCATGTTCTATTGTACAACTAATATTTTGCACTCATTGCTGGTGTGTGATAAAATATACAAAATATTAGTTGTACAATACAAATGTTGAACTTATACTTTTATTACGTGCTATTAATAAAACATTGGCAAAATCGAGCGTTCGTCATAATATTTCACAGTGGAGATTTCTGCCCAGGCTCGCACGTTCCTTTATTTCTCAGTTCGTGAAAACGTGAAATTGCACGAAGATCCGCAATCTACTGACAAGCAAGCGAACTTTGTTCCCAACCGTTGATCCACTCCTTCACTCCGGCCGCTTTCGAGAGGTCGGGAGGTGTTCGAGGTGTTCCATTAGAGGAATTAAACGGTATCTTGTTTTACTTTCGGCCAACTACCACGAAAATCTTACCCCGCTCGCCTTTCTCAGGGAGACACTTTGGTTGCTTCTCTGGCTCGACGATCTCGAGTTCGATTTGTCGTTGTCCTTAACTGGAACAGAAAAACGAACAGCCGTGTTTGAATGCACTTGGAAAACTAAAGTTCTCCGCGAGATATACAGAGTGCTCGTAGTCAGCTTCTCTCCCTCTCTCTCTCTCTCTCTCTCT